TTTTGCCACGCCCACTCCAACACTCTCAATCTATATTTTATTTTTAATTTTTTTGTAATTTTTTGATGTGATGACCGTCAAATTGCCAGCTTTAAAATCAGGAATGTATTTATTATGTGATTTTGCAGTATTATTTATGTATTTTATAATAAAAGCACTCCAATTTACTTTATAACACATAAGAATGATATTATTTTATATGCATTTCTAGTTTACATACACTTTACCTATGTATGTATATAGGTATAGTTCTCTATTCGCATAGTTCTCCATTTTGCAGTAGCTAACATGATCAGAGCGAAAGAGAGCAAAGTTCCGTTGGATCCTCGCTTATTCCATTTTCTTCCTTTCCTCTAAGTACGCCGTTACCTGCCAGTTCTTAGCTGCGCTTTTCTCAGTCGGATGCTTTTTCGCATTACGTGTTTCAATAAGTTTAATTAAACTAAAAGCGTACGGAATTAGTTAAAACTTGTGTTAATACTAAGTAATCTTTATCTCTCTGTTTACTTAATCTCTCTGTTTCGATTTTGAGTAATTAAAGACCCTGCAAGAAGTGAAAAACCACGTGATTCGGTGCACACGTGTGTGTGTGTGAGCTTCAGAAAGTGGCAGCTGCCAATTTTATGTTAAATAAACATCGAAAAGGAGTTATTCTACTTAAAATGAATGCATTGTCGGCTAGTTAGTATGTTAGTAATAACGTGCGAACGCAAAATGCAATATAATATTCGAATTTACGGTTTTTAATTTTGGCATTCAAGCGGGTGACGCGCGTTTTCATGTGTGTGTGTGTCTCGATGCGACAAATTCGCTGTGTTTTAAATCCGCCGTGCTCCCACTTCGCCGTATATAAATGCAGGTGTTTTGCCGAAATTCGCCGCAAATGGTGTTTTGGTTTGTTCCATTTTTTTTGGGTGGTATTTTATGTGCATAAATTTATTGATATTTTAACATCTTGGTGTGTTAAGATAAAGGTAATTCCTCATAATTAGAAGAAAATTGAAGTTCTATACTCCATTACTCAACTTATCTTAATCGGATTTCGAAATGGCATACCTCTAATGTTTCTGGCGCAATTCTCTAAAAATCGGCATTCAAATTTAGAATTTTTTTGTTTTTTAATTTTATTTCCACTGGCTGAGTAACGGGTATCTGATAGTCGGGGAACTCGACTATAGCATTTTATCTTATTTATTTATAAGCATATAAATTTATCTCTTTTTTTAGTATTACAACATGTATTATAATAGGAGGAGGTACTTGTATTTAGAAAAACCATTTGTATTCCCATTTTATTACCCAAAATGCCTGTACATATTTTAATGCCCAAACACATTATGGCGGAACACAGAGAGCGCTGGCCAGCGATTGCGATTGCCTGAAATGTAGTCGTACTCAAATATGGGCTTGTCCAGCCGCTTGAGGTTGTTTGTATCCCAAGTTTAATTAAATTTCTGGCATACGACATCAGCAATCAAGCACTGGCAACATGGCATCGGCATCGGCATCGCCATTGCCATTGGACCGAGCACAGTCACTATTGCCGCATGGAACCATGGGTTAGATGCACAGTCATGGACATGACTCTGTGTAAACGGACATGCACATTTGAATTCGGTTAAATAGTCCACCTGGGCATGCCATCCACATCCACAAGTCCACGTCCATCGCAGAGCCAATCCACAGTGCCTAATGTTCGTCGGATCGGAATGGCATGGGCTGATGGAATGCCCTTGTCCGGGCATAGAAACCACATGGGTGGATGTATCAGTATGTGCATATTCAAAACGCCAGTCGCTGCTAATATGTAGTAGCGGCTTATAAAATGTTACAAGTTTTGTATTAATTAAAAACTTCGGCTCGTGTGTGTACTTTTACCAACTTATATGTATATATATTCCTTTTTTTGTTTCTTTTTTCTGCACCCCGCTCCTTTGCGCACTCAGGTGCTCCTCTATATAAATACACACATGTGGGCTTTGCTCTATTGTTTGCAGTCCATCCGATTTTGGTAGGGCGTTGGGACCGCCCCAAAATAGACAAGCATGCACCGTTTTGCAATTTAAGCTTGTCCACGTTGCTGGTGGTGCCGTGATGTTGCCGCTGTACTGTTGGGTTTCGCCTCCTCCCCGTGCTCCGCCGCACCCCCGCCAGTTGGCCAACCATGCATCCATGCCGTAAGCCAGCCAGCCAGCCAGTCTGTCCGTCCGTATGTCCGTTTGTCCGTCCGTTTGGCCGTCCATCCATCAACGTGTTTGACCTAGCCGGCAATTCGGTTTGACATGCGGGTAAATTGAATTTTCCTTGTTTCGCATTTGTTTCGACTTGTTTCTTTTTTGATTTTGGCCCGTTGTACGAATTACTTATTCAAATTAAAAATATTTTTTCCCCTTTTTTTCGTTTTTTACACCCTGCCGCCGATGACTGGGGAATTTTTAGTTGAAGTTTCTCCACAAAATTCTCGCCCATTTATTTACATACGCGTACATATGTAAATGGTCAGTGGCATGTGAGTCCGGACTTTGTACATAATCCTGTTAGCATACAAGTGTAACTGAATCCATCTGCATAACTTTGGGCCCCCCAACTGATTTCACTTAGAATTTAATTTGAGTGACGAAACGCACCACAAGGTGAGTACTAAAAAAACACAATTAATAGAAAATCGAGCCACGAGTAATACACCAAGGTATCACATAAATACATTTTTAAGGTGCAATAGATAGAAATTTAATCTTTCCATAGTGCTCATTAGAAAATATCATTACCTAATAGTGCAGCGATTATCCGCATGTGAACATTTAAAAAGCCACAAGATACAACCGTTTTTTCGGCCATTCACATTTGTCTTCAGCAGAATGAGTAAAATGAGCAAAATGAGCAGCCCGAAGGAACTCGAGGCATTAGGTTAAGTGGCAATCGCGGTGTGATTTATGGCTATTTCCGTCTCGTTGCGATTTCAGTGATTCAAGGAATTGGAAGCGCCGCAAATGAGCTGCCAGTTGGCAGTTGCTCATCCAAAGGCCTCCGAGGTGCTGGTGGCTCACTCATTAATTGATTGCACTTATGGCCCTCAAGACTCAAGATTCAAGATTTGCATGTACATATGCGAATGCGAATGCGTATGCAGAGTGCGGAATTCATTATTTCCGGGAACAGTGCATTTGTACGGCAATTAGTCCGCTTGCGAACATAATATACCACGCCTTCGCCTTTGCCATCGCCTTTGCCATCGCCACAGAGACCCGTAAACCCAGGGGCCCATGTTCCTCTGCGGACGGCATAAATCATCTTGCAACGGGGCCGACGCCCCAGTATCATCATCAGTGCTGGATATATATGGCTATATGTGGGACATAAATACCCGGGGATGTACAAAACTCCGAAAAACGCTGTCTAATTGAGAGGCACCACCAGAGGCAGCCACGGCCAGCAAATCTGGCATATCCCATATTGAGTTCTCACACTGAGCCTGCTCGAGAATCCCCCAGTCCTCATGCCCTTTCCCATTCCAATCCGAATCTCGAGATGTCGCGAGCGGAGCCATATTTCCATGTCTCATTTGCGGCGACCCCTCGAGAATTGGAGCTCGCTCTTCCCCAATTTTTGAGTTTTTTGAGTGGGGTCACACGCACGTCATAAATAAGTGTAAAAAACTGGTCTAGGGGTGATGGACCAGGGAATACCCGGTAATGAAATCCAGATATTAAAACCATTAAGTGAAAGTGTGGCCCAGGACACCTAATTGTTAAAGTGCACAAATTGAGTTCCAAAATAATGCTAATTATTTAATATGTATAGCTTTGAAGGCGCTAGGTTCATAGATATTGTAGCGCACATGCATTTTATTTCCTATAGCCCAGATTTAATATACCCCATGTCACTAAAAATAGTCTAGCAATCAGAAACGAAGCCCTTGTTTTTTGTTATTTATGATATTTTAAATCAAAATTTCTTCACCGTCATAAGTTAGGGGAAAATTCATTCAGATATCGTGTCAAAACATTTTTGATTACTAACAATTAACAATTTCTAAAAGAAGCTTAGGTAATAATTTTAAATCCCCCTTTGGAAAAAAACCTAATAAATACAAATAAATCAAAAGTTATCTGAGAAATACAGAACTATATTATCTCCTTTTTAGTTTTGAGATCGAACAAGGAAAATATAAATATTTATATGTAATATGTAAAATATGATGCTTATGATTAGTAATAATGATTTTTAGTCAATCCAAAACCACCGAAAGTCAGCTTTTAAGCGGATTCCTTAACCCTTTCCTTGCTGAATTGTTTAGCTTTTAAAGTCGAGTAACGACAACAGATCTTTCTTATAAAATCTCGATGCTGCAAATTTGATATTCTATGTCCTTGTATCTAACTTTATGCAATTATCCCTTTGCTGACAATTAGGCGCCTCAATTGCAACAGGAGTGCGAAAAGATGCGATTGTGTCACCTTCTAGCCCGCTCTGCGAGATGATCACTCGTCAGTTGTTACCCAATGTCAGGCCATATATCTACGCCTATGTCTATGTATCTATATCTATGCGTATGTCTCTGTCTATATCTATGGTCGATCGGAGTAGTGCTCACGCCCACTTCTTAACATGCGCTACAAGTGCTAAAAATGCTGAAAACATATTTCACAATTAATTGTCGCCTGGCGACTGCCGTTGTTGTTGCTTATTTAATTTATTTTTTTTTGTATTTCAGCTCGCTATGCGACAACCGCCCCCCGCGGGTGCCACGCCCCTTCTTTGTGGCCGGTCCCTCAGTTGTCGTTATTATATTTTTCCTCGCATTTTTAAGTGTTGTTCGACATGGCAAAAACAACGCGTTGCTGCTTAATTTGTCGTAATTAATGCTTATGAATAGTTTGTACTTGTCGCATTTGTTAGAGTTTCGTGGGTGGAAAGTGGCTAAAAGGTGGCTTAAAAGTGGCAAAAGGTGGCTAAAAAGTGGCTAGACCATGGCCAAGGAATGCGAGAGTGTGGCTTACCTGCAGCTTAACCAGTTCCGGATGCTCGCTGGCCATCTTGGCCAGCTCCTGGTAATTAGCCTTCGCCATCGAGACGATCCACTCCTTTGCCTTGGGATGCGCCAGCGTAACCTCCGGTGAATCCTTCTCCTCGATTAATTGCTGCAAAGGAATGGAGCAGAAGAGCGGGAGGTGCGCCCGGAGGGGCATAAATTAATTATGCATGTTTCTGCCACTTTGTCTACGACTTGGCGGGGAAGGTAGGGGTGGGGGCGGGGGCGAGGGCGTGGGCGGAGGCGTTGTACCACTGCTAACAAAATAAAACAAAAAATCCAAAAAAGAAGAAAAGCAAAAACAAAAACAAAAAAGAAAAACCAAAACGAAAATGAAAAACATCGGCACGAAGCGGGAATAAAACATAGAAAGCCCATTGAGAGCATTAACGCCAACACAGTCGTCGCCTCCCGGAATATACGATTCTAATTTACCCACTCGCACACACGGCTAACATTGCCCCACAATCCCAGTGTGTGGCATCCAGTGGATATGGGCATATGGGATATGGGATTCGGGCAGGAGGTGCACTTTCAAAAATATCTAGTTTTTCCTAATTAGATCGAGCACGCATAGGCGCACAAATTGAAACCAGAAGGAAAACGCTGTTCGTCGTTGAAAATTTAACAAGAATAGTGCTACATTTATTCTAATGACAGCACCTACCATATTGTATTAATGATAATCAGCAATTTGATTTAAATATGTTTAAAGTCATTGTGGATAAACACAAATAGGCTTGGTGTTATTCAAGTAACTAGAAAACAATCTCTTGCAATTTAGATATATTTGTATTCAAAAATATACTTAATACAAATCACTGAATAGAAATTCCAACTAAAGAATATGAATTGAAGCTAGCACTTTGAAGCAGGATTTCCATATCTAGTCAGCCCATTTTTCCGAGTGTCAAGATGGGATGCCCACGAGATTGGGGGATGGGGATGGAATCGGGATGTGTGTTGTTGCGAGGGTGTAAAAGCTGGATGGTAATTATGCTCACGCATTCGACGGCGCCATCGCCATGTTCCTCCACTAATTATGAAGGTAATAATTTTTATTTATTAGGCGCGTGCTTAAGGCAGAAAGTGCGCTGGGTTCTTCTCGAGCATCTCCCTCTCGAAAGGAAAGTAGTAGATGTTTTTTGGTTCGGTGATTTACAGAGTTTTTTACGCTCGACGGAGGCGGCGGGGGAGAAGACAACACACACATCCACACACCCGCAAAAGTCGGCTGCTGATAATGAGCCCTCTAATGATTTCCGAGGGGCGGGGGTTTCCGCGGATGCAGGAGGAGTGCGGCGAATGCTTCCCAAACACATGTGCCAGCGACAATAAGAATGGAAGCCCCCGACATGTGTGCCTCATATTTACGAGCGCACAACACATTTTCGGCAACTAATTATCCATTCGCGTAATGTTCGCGGGCCGTACAAGCTGTGCAATACCCGGTATGCCCGGAATCTCCGGAATACCCGCTCCCAACTTTCACCTGAACAACATCACCCACTCTGCCGGGTCTCTAATATCCCGGCCCATCGTAACACAGCTAATAAATACGACGACATTTGAATGCCGCAGGATGCGCAAAACGCGTGCCAGGACCTCCGTCATCCCCTTCATTCTATTTACACGCCACTTGACTCCCGGAGTGCTCACGTTTTTCCAATTACGGACGGCTGTTTTTCTGTCCGCTTTCCCAGGTAAGCGAAGGGCAGTCGCCATTTGCAAAAGCCATTCCAGAAATCGAAATACGGGCGAACTGGAACTCGGATTCAGATACGGACTCGGATTCGGGCATTTGAGCGAGCGAGGCGACAGGCGTAACAGGAACAGAAACAGCAGCCGAACATCATAAAACAGTACAAACATTGAGACGCAGGCCCTCTGGCCAAGTGGCCATGTCAATGCTAAACAAAAGAGCCCAACCCGGAACAGAACCCCATTCAGCAGAAGGCCAGACCCACCGAACCGAACCGAACCGAACTGAAACGCCCACCACACTTGGGAAAACCAATATGATAGCCAATTAAAGTAGTAGGTAAATGTGAAGTACTCTTCAACATAATACCACATAGGTATTCAGAGTTTGGCAACATTACTACTGATTTGTATTTCAACGATATTTAACTATAGTAAAGATGGGCTTGTAATACAGTGCGAATCTATTGTCTTAAAATGACATTAGAAAGGTATTAAAAAGTTATGAAGTATAGAGATTTCAGTATATGAAAGGATAATGTATCTGGTAATTTTTTAGGAACAGTGTCACTACTTTTCTGGTATTCCTACGTACTTCATTATTTTATTTCTAATAAAACAAATATAAACCCTTGAAAACTAATGATGTACATTTTTCCGACTGCAAGGACTCCCCATTTAATGGTATGTTGCTTTTTTATGGCTTTGGGAGGAGACACAAACAAAAAACAAATAAAGGGGAAAAAAGGCAAAGCCCAGAGCAGCTCGAACTCCAACTTTGAATCCGGGACTTGGGGACCTGGGGGTGGAGCACCGGTTGCCCTTGTCTATCGTACAGGCCACCCAATTCATCCCGCTCCCCAATCGCTTGTTTGTTGGCCAGTTTTCTTATGTCCCGTGTCCCTTTATGCCCGATATTATATCACACAGCTGGCTGTTGTCCTTTGCCAGGATGTGGCCATGGCCATGCGCCCAGGACACTGGCTGTGCTACTGCACAGGACGAGAGGATACGATATGGAACTCGGGGTCTGGGCCATGTCCCTTCAGTGTTTACGTTGGCCCGGCGAGTCTTACCTTTGGACCGATGCCACAAAATGGTCGTGTTTCCATTTCCAGGGCACAAGCAACGGACTACGGGCTACAGGCTACGGGGATTCAACTCCGTCCGTTTTTTGTCCAGTAAGGGGAGTGGCTGGGACTGGGACTTTGGCGGTGAACGGGTGGAAATTGTTGCTGTTGTAAATTTAACCGCTTCGGGACACAGTCCGTTGTTGTTTAACAGCAATAACAACTTTTGGTTTGTTTCCTTACATTTTTAATTGGGTCCTTTGTGGCTGGCATGACCGTGATGAGAATAGCTTTGCCTAACTAATTTCTATTGCTGCTTATTGGCTATGTTAACATGTTTCACCAACTTGTTTCATGCAAAGGGTTTTCGCCGCTGGGTTCGTTTCGCTCCAGCCCCAGCCCCAGCCACAGCCACGCCCCCCGATCCCAGGGCATCCGACCCCGCCTACGCCCCATTTCGATGTGGGTCGCCTGGCAGTTTTATATGCACTCTGGGAATCCGGAGGAGAACTCCTATTTTTAATAAGAATATATATGCGGTCTGTTTGATGCTGCAGGAGGACTTTTGGGGAGGGACCTTGCTTTCAGGCAATATTTGCAGTGGCAGGGGGCTTAAATTAGATTCAAAAAACATCAAGAGGAGTTTGCATTAGTTTTAGTTTGATGGCTGAAAGCGAAAAAGGTGTTTGCCTAGAGAAACCTTAGCTGGCTTTAGAATTTTAATTACTATTTTAGGAAAATTGTATTCCTTTAGTTTTTAATTGATTTGGCGAAGATTTAGGTTTCAGATTGCTCAAAAAATTCTTGGAATTCTAGCATTGCTATTTCAGTTAACAACACGATGCCACAAATTTGCCTACTTTTAGATTTGAAGGTTTAGCTGGAATTCATGAGAACTTCAGCCTTGAACCGAAAAGTTTATGTAGTTTCCCGTTAACCTTCTCAAATTTCATCAATCAAAAACAAACACTCAAGCTATGGTACTATCAATATTAGTTATTTAAACAAAAAATCCATTTTAAATCCGCTTGTTGTTTTGGGGCGTAAATTAATCAATCCTCTGCCATCGCACAACGGTGCTGAGTGAGCGCACAAAATGCAAAATCATCGGGCTAATTAAAAACGATCGAAACGAATTTAATTGATCAGCTAGCCGAGGCTCCAGATCCCATAGTTACAGTTGCAACGCCAAAAATTTCACGGCACACCATGATGGATCTACTTCACTTTACTTCACTTGCTCCCCAGTTTTTCGATCCCATGAATCCCATGAACTAGAATGCCGCCTTTAAAACTCCTGGGGAACATGATGAGCCACTTTCTTTTCGTCTGGCGATGATTAGTTAGTTTCTTTGATGAATAATAGGGAAAACGGGCATCCATCAAACCTATCCCAATATTGTTTACAACTGAATTTTAATAATTGCGTGAAGACGGTTGGCGCCATCAGAAATGATGCTGTGTCTTGTTAGCGAATCAATTTGTTAACAAGCTGTAAGCGCTTAAAACGCCACAGATACTTTCTTTATTCTCAGTGGTCTAAATAGCAGCTATCAACCCGATCCGTATCAAGTGAATGATAGCCCTTCTTTTTGCCGGATTCATGTTGCAGACAAATTAATAATGACTTGCGATATTGGCCTATGCCCAGCAATTCAAGTGAATTCATTCATCTAAATCAAGTATTCATATTTTTAAACGACTTCTTTTTGCATACATACATTTATTTTTGAATCTTTAGGCAAAGTTTTAGAGTAAAACCAATTTGCTATCCAGCTGCTTTTGCCTGCCTTGCACGTAAAAAACCCCCATTTAATTTAGACTTAATTTTTGATATTTTTAATTTGACTGCTCAGAAATGAGCTGCGTAAATCCGGAAACATGAAATACGTGAGAAATTCAAAGTTGCGGCCGTGATGCTTTGAAACAGATTTCCAATATAAGGACTAGTTTGATTTTTCCATGTCCGAGTGTCTGTACAAATAGGCACTTAAGTTCGCTTCCCGATGTTTTAGTGGGGTTTTATAGCGTCTGACGTGCCGTTGACAATCTCACTTTGATGTACATCCACTGCTGCGGAGCATCTTGCTCTAAACATGATACAATAGAATGGAGTGGGATATGGGATACGGATGCGGATGGGACCATCCGTCTCGCAGACAGATTCGGATGATTTATGCACTGGGGATATTCGTTTTCAACTCTAAATTGCGTGATTGACAGGCCTAAGTGGATGACAGTTGTTTGACAACTCGGCCCAATTGCACTACTATAGCTTGTAACATTAACTAAGGAACGATTTTTCCGTAACGCTTGACAAATTCCACTGCCACATGCTCTCCGAGATTGATACTTTTAAATTAGAACCTCGAAATGGACACGCTACAAGTTATTTATGTATTTGGAGTGGATTTTGTTGAAGTGCTGAAGGTTTCAATTTCCCATTTATTTCAGTTGAAAAATTGTAGTTCAAGGGTTTGATTAGGACTTTCGGTATTCGAAAGGAAGCAGCTTAGTCTCTCAATTGTCATGGAATACATGATTTATATAAGAACTTTGTTCGCAGAAACCAAAAAAAGATTTTAGATGGCATAAAAATGTTGTTTCAAACGTTTCTGGTAATGCAACTTGTTATTTTTGGATAACAACTAAAATACAAAATATACCGTGAGTTTAAATTCCATCTGATTGGACATTTTTCTGAGTGTTTGCATGCATACCATTTGCCGGCCGCAAAATTTCTCACGTAACTCATACTTGGCAAGTCCTCGATGTGTTTGTACACATAATAGGCTTTTGGGCCATCAAGAAAAATAAAGAAATGAAGGGGCGCGGGGAAAACAGCTTGCCAAGTGTCGTCATGGCCAGTTGATGGAACAAAGTTACTAAACACATCGGACTCGGGCGGGAATCGAATTCGGAATCGGAGTACATGTGTCCGCACATGTACGTACACATGTCGGGCATCAGCTCGCCAGCTCTCCAGCTCTCCAGTTCAGCAGCTTTTGAATGCGCGGCGACAAAGTCGGGACAGAAAAAGTGGACAGGAAGGCAAACGGAACGATGCAGGCGCATGTAGTTTTATGAGACTTACATTTATATTGTCCACTAATAAAATTAATGGATTTATTCAATTCGGGCTGTGCTGGTGGCAATTCGTGACATGGCTCTGGGAACTGACAGACAGTTGGGTGACCGACCGACCGGCTTAGTTTGAGCCAGCCACTCTGCCATTCTGCCCGTCTAGCAGTCCGCCAGCAGTTCCACTTGAGGTGGCCCAAAGCCTGGGACAGCCACTGATGCATTGACAATAATTGCTCTCGGTTTCCAGGGCCACCAGATCTAATCTGACCCTGATTTGTAGCGGAATATCAGCCGTTCTTTGTTGCCATTCCGTCATATGCAGGGATGGGAAAGCTACTACTTCTCTCAATCACGTTCTACAGTGTGTATTCGTCCACGATGGACTGAAAAAAAAAGCTGGTTAAGTGGAACTACGTCTACCACAGTGGACACTTCTATAAAAACATTCATAGCTCTGTGCTAATTAATCACAACTAAGCCGTGCAAAAAACGTCGCATATTTGAATTGTCTTGCAGCGAATCTTCCCACTGACGCACAGGAAATGGAACGAATTGTGGCAGAGCTGGGAGGGAAGGGCCCCAAAGACACCCGCACCCGAGACGAGCCCTTTCCATTAACCATTACCCGCATGGTAGCTAATGCCCCGGCTAACCGGTTCTGAGGCACTCACCTTCTCTGGCTTCTTCTTGGCTGGCGGCGATATGATTTTAGCCACTTCTTCGGACGCCATCCGGTTGAATTTGCGCGTGGCCTCCTTCACGCTGATGGGATTCTCGGCCGCATCGCCCTCGGCAGAGGGAGCAGTGGGATCAGCCATCTCCGGCTTTTCGATTGAAGTGCTGGACGCCGAGGAGGCCTCTGAGGAGAAGGAGAAGCGAGGTATGTTCTCCTTGTTGTCGATCACATCGATGGAATTCGAGCGAGAGGGTTTTTCCCGCTTCTCCTGCTGATCCAGATCCTCAGACTTGACCGAGGACTGCCTCTCTAAGCGGGCAGGCTCAATGCGCTTTATGGCAGCCGTGAATTCGTCCACGCAATCCTGGTAGTTCTCCTGGTGCTCCTTGGCCATGGAAACTGCTGGCGGAGAGGTGACCATGGGTGGGGGCTTGTATGGCGGTGGCTGCCTCATGGGCGAGTCAAAGTTCAGGGATGCGCCGCCGGGACTCGAGGGCTCCGGAACACTGGATGCGGCGGCCACCGCGCGCTCCACAACCTCATCCGTGGGGCATTCGTTCACATACTTCTTGCGCAATATCAGAAACTTCTGATTGTTCTCGTTCTTAATGGTGGACAGCAGTGTGACATAGGTCTTGAATCGCTTGCGAGCCTCATCTGCAATTAATCATTGGAACATCCATTTCATAACCCAGTCTCTATCGGTTTTTTGGCCATTCAACAGGTCTCAAAATCCAAAAGACAACACACACAAATGACTCACTTTGCGATTGCGGGTGAGTTAGGAATTTCTTGAAGTGCTTCACCAAGGCGTGATTTGTCACCTTGCACTCGTTTGCCAACATGTAATTACGGATCTCCGCAATGGACAACTCCTTCGGCAGCTCCATAGCACTTGGAACCTCACTTTAAAACACTTTTAAACACGAAATAAATAAAAAAACGCAACAAACAAAAACATTCGACCAGGGCACTGTGCGCACTGCGAGTGCTGCATCCCTCATGCTTCGCGGAAAAAAGCTCGCTGATTTTGCAGCATGACAGAAGGCTGGCAGGCTTGTAACTCGCAGTTCGGAATGATTTCTTCGAATTTTCATAGCTTTTAATGAAATTGAATGCTAAACTCCAGTACTTTAAATCAAGGAAACTAATTATAGATTTTTATAACATTATATTACCTAATAAACTATAAATTTTACATTTTGATATCGATTTAAGTAAATGCAAATTACTTTCGATACCGTTGTATTTTTTGGCATGCCCAAATTTTTCTATTTGTGAAAATTAATATGAAAATTGCAGTTTTTTATAAGTTATGATGTATTAAGTGATTCATAAATTAAAATTATAAAATTCAGAATGAAAAAACAATATATTGTGACAATATACATATATCCACAAAATAATGATCTTGTATTTTCTTCAAATTTCAAAAAACGCTGATTCGAAAATAGAGTTACATCAATAAGTTTGCTTACCTATTAAATTTGTCATTATTTATTGAGCAAAAAGTTATGACGAATGTTATTTTCAACAAAAGCTCACAATCAATGGACAAATTCCCATCGGCATTCTTACTTGTAAATCAAAGTGGTAGTTAATTTGCATAAAATTTAATTCCACTTGAATCCATCTGCTTCCAAGTAGCTTCCCCATGCAAAGAATTATTAAAACAGTTCCGAATTAATTCCTGAGACAGCCAAATGTAAATTCAGGGGCGGATCGGGCGGAAAAAGCACCATCTCCATCTCCATCTCCATCCCCATCCCCATCCCCACCGAAATCGGGGAGTTAACTATGCAGTACGTGTATGTGGGGCACAGACCGAGTTGATTTCCATCTCAATTGGCCAAAATGGTTCGTTGGGGCTTGGTTTGGGCCATGTATGTGTGGCAATTTGTTGAATCGACGTCATTTATCATCCGCAGAGCAGAGTTCTAGCCGAAAGGAAGCCACAGCCGATGACAGTGACAATGGCGCATCTGGATACACAGATTGGGATTGTATCTTTCACTTGCATTTCAAGATGCAAATGTCAAGATGTGTTGTACTCTGGATATCCTTCCCTTCCTCCCTTCCTATCTCTCCCCCGCAGGATTCAATTCCAGGATGCCTCGATGGCGCAGATGCGCACTAATTTGTATGCCCGCACTCTTTGGATTCGCTTTCCGATGGTTAAATGGTTAAATGTATCTTGGCAGCGCGCTCGCCTCATAAATGTGCCCAAATAAATTACCCTTATTTATCACTTTATTTGGGGTTCCAGATAGAGCCGTGTTTCGCCACGAGCGAAAGTATATAACTCATGTTTGTTCAAGGTATTTGCTTGCTAATTTGCTAAAACATAATAAATTCCACACAATAATACTTAAATAAATGAATATTGTTCTTTGAAACAGTAAACTGGGCAGTTTACAAGTATAATAATAATGTTTAGGTTGGTAATACTATGAAAGTATTACATTACGATATCTATTAGCATTATACTTCATTACCAAATTTATACTCAAAACCATTTCGATGATTATTCTGATCTGTTGCTATCAGTTTAGTCATATCATTTTTAATCGACTCATATGATTTTTAGTTTCCTATAAACTATACCTAGTGTGTGAAATTTCAAAGCGATGAAGTCGAGCGTGCTCTTTGGAGGACATTAATTAACTAAAAGCTTTTCCTGCTACCAAATCCCAACTCCCAACTAAAGACATTCCAATCTGCGGGTAGGCGAGAAGTGACTACTCAGTGCGATTAGAGCAATGTTCGGCATTTGCAGCCGGATTATGCAATTGTCACCGATTGTGTGGCAAAGTGGCGCCTGATAAGCGTCGCAAATGGAATTATGTGGCATATGAAGTGCGGCGAGTGAGTATCTGTATCTGGAGGCACTCATTTTCCCATCGAATGCCATTTGGGCACGACCAGAGAACGTCTGGCCAGGAGACGGGAGTCGCGTTCTCGGATGCGAGGCAGTTTGGCATTGGTGCGGGCGAGGATTGGCAGCAGCCATCTTGTAGCTGCGCATACTGACTGGTGTATCCCTCAGATACTTTTCATCACCCCCTCCCTCGATATCCAGCTCTTAGTATTTTTTTTACTTTTTGTACACCGGTTGGCGTCAGTGTTGAATGCAGACAGCGATCGACGGCGAACGATCCTCGATAGTTGCAACTTGCAACTTGCAACTTGCAGCGTTTGTCTTGTCTGGAGGATGGGGCCACTATAGGATGGAATGGTATAGGATGGCTATAAGATGGAATGGGCTGCTGCGGCGGCATAATTGGCAATTGGGAAATGGCAACGGGAGTGGGAATGGCTGTGGATTGGAAATAGGATTGGGAATGGGCCTGAGAATGGCACTGGGCTCACTCGACTTTATGACTTTTTTTGCCAACTGGCGGATTCACTCGAAGAATTATTCGTACCACCGCTTGTGGAGTGGATAAAATAGCATCTAAGTCATGGTTATTAATAGCTAAAAAAAATGTTTTAATTTTTTTTAATAAATCTTCAACAGGCTTATGAAGAAACCAGCTTAAGTCATAAACATTTCTCTCCTGACTACATTTTCAGTGGCTTCACGAGTCCGTTGAGTTTTTCGAGTGTGCCAACTAATGCCGGCCGTCTATCTGGCCCAGTCACATCGAAGTCGTGGTCGGATTGAGTTTGTTTCTGTGTTCGTTTTAGCCAAGATTCGCTCATTTCTAACCTGCAATTCGACATTATTTATACCCACCTCCTTTAGTTCCTCCTGACCCCTGGAGAGTGGCGCCTAAAATTACACGAGGCCCTTTTTGGATGCGGGGCAGCTGTCAGCGCGGATTGCTCAAGTATCGGAGATTTATTGTGACCGGGAATCGTTCGAATTGGATTGGCACGGCTGGTTGAAGAAGTCCAATGCCCGGGCAGCCGTAATGCCCAGCAGATGTTGGCGATGCCACGCAATCCTGGGCAGCCTTTTAAGTAGTCTGACAGTCATTATTGAACCATTACCAAATGAGCACTGCGCATTATAAATGAGCACATAAAACATAAACGTTGTCGCCCAGCCCATGAGCCGATTACTGCAATTTAACACCCCCACTTGGTGCACTTGGTCCTCATCCCCTGCTGAATTCTCGCTGTATTCGGCGGCATCACGTCCACTTAGATCTCGTCATATGTTGCCATTTCCGTCGGTGGGCCCGGGAATTCGCTCATATGCCATATATACTCTATAGAGTGGGTTCCATTCTGTACTAAGGACTGAGGACTGTGGTCAAATGCTTTAGCTCGCACCGGGATTTTGGATGGTTTCGCTCGGCTTAGCCCGACTCCCAAGTGGGATTATGTCACTTCCCCGGTGACATTTGCATTTTGATTGACAAACTCATTTAGCGCCTGCAGTTCAGACCGCGTCCTTCGTCCTTCGTCCTTGCATCCTGCGTCCTTGTGCCCCTGCTCGCCCAACTTGGAGTGGATATATTTGCCAGGCGCTTAAGAGATTTTCAATTACACCTATTTCAGCAACAATGAATCGGTATTTAAGTGCTTTGATTCAAAATATTTACACTTTGGGGTGACGAGTTCATCAAACTTAAGCTGATAATAATTATTAACTCGCGATTAAGGGCAGAGGCTAATGGGTTAAGGGGAAACTTAAATATTAATAGCGAATAATATTTTATTTAATGAAATAAATTACTTTTGTTGTTAGAAGTTACGCGCTTTTAAGAAAAGTATATAAATTTAATTAGAACATTTCCCCTTTTTCCAATATTATCCATAGATTTCGTTATGGTTTATTTATTGATTATACCATTTTTAATTAAAAGTGTAAAGTGTTTGCTCTTGAACACATTTTGTACCTCCAACTTACTATGGACTATAAAATAAACATAAATCTTGGGCAGTTAACTATTTTTAGTATACTTTTAATTAACTTTAACATAACATATAACACCTTGAAGCAGCTTTTCTCTTTAATGACTAATAATTTGATTATAATATCCTCGCTTTTGTACTGACAGTTATTGGAAAAGGATTAAGGCGCGTCGAACTTTCTAAAACCTGTGACGTGTGATTATGAAATGATTGCTCATTTTGAATATATTTTAGTACCCAGATATCATGGTTACAAACCATCTCCGTTTAATCTCCCCTGAAATGCGATTTCGATTGTTTGTTTAATTAAATCATTATTCCTGTGCACATTTTGAGCCCGTTAAAGTCACTAAAATCAGTGCACATTCGAAAGTGAATGGTACATGTGTATGTGCTTACAATTCTATCAGCCAAACATTGCATAATGAGTAGAACTCAATTACGCGTTTCTACCGATGCGATATATTCATGTGACAATTTTTAATGTTTTCCGACAACCATTAAAGTCGGGCCCGCTGAAAATGACAACAATAAACGTGGCGGCACAACCAAAAAACAAAAACAGAGCGAAAAAAGAGAAAAGGGAAAGGTTGCCACATAGAGTGTGTGGTGCGTATCGCATCCTGACCCTTCTTTCAGACCCGGATCCCTCATCCTCATCCCTTCCCACGAGGATCCCAGCCAAACTGAAACGGAACCGAACTCGACAGGCGTCAACGGCGAGTGTTGTGACAGTTTTTGCCGGCGAATATAATAAAAACAAAAATATATTTCATTTTCCACGGCGCTTGGGTTTGAGTTTGGGTTCTGGAACCATCGAATGCAATCATTGCCCTTGCCATTTGCTGGCTATTTTGAAATTGATATATGCATAAACCGCAGTGACAGATGTTGCAATTAAAACGGCATAAAACGGTGGAGGAAATAGCACCACCGAAACGCCTATATCCTTGATCAAAATACGAGTATATGTATATATGTGTGTATATACGAGTACACGAATAACTTATCGAGTGGCGTGAAAAGTGAGCGCTGTCAGCTTGACTGGCGGACAGCTCAATTGTCAAAATAGGTTTTAAGTGCCGTCGACTGATTTGTAAGTGAAGTGCACTTCTTGCCACCGAAAGTGGCAACTGCCAATTGCGATTCCAGTCCGCATCTCGGCTCCAGGGTTTGTTTTTTTGCTTTCAGATTCTGGCCACTCGATTCTCCAACTCAGAGGGTGGTCAGTGTGTGGCTGCCGCAAATGGAAACGCCCCATGTGGTTGCCACTCGTCGTCGTCTGGTGTGTACCATCATGCTGACCCATTGATTGATTGCATTTGCAGCCCGGCGCTGCCACGCCCCCGCCGCCACTCCTCCACTCCTCCACACCGCCCCCACTTGCAAAAGCGCCACTCGTAAAACGCGCAACACAGCAAATATTGTACTTAACACCCGGAGGGGCACTTGGAACGGACTCTCCGCTCTTGTTGCTGCCGCTGCACTCGGAAAAAATGGGTCCTCCAATTTTTGAAGTATTTTAAGGCCTTTTGCTATGGAAACTGATTTAGGCATCTCAGGAATGGTAATATTCCTTTACAACTGCTAGTTTTTATTATCTGGTAGTAAAATAAATATATAAAATATATATATCTATTAATCCAGTGAACTCTGAAAATATTTGTTTCATAATAAACATAATATGTATTCTTGCCTATACAAATCAGTGATCAAATGAAAGAAATGTTTAAAACAACATGTAATTATGTATGGCTTAGCCAACTCTTAAAGCAAATTGACTACTTTTAGTCAATAGCTTCTTGTAAAATATCAAGAACATAAAATTATCGAGGGTTCTGGAAATAGTTCCCCATTTTGGCCAAGTGCAGTTGCCGCTGGGTTTTGCCTTTGGCCTCGTCATGACTTGGCTTCCCTTGGAATTAATTCACGTTTGGGTTTGGCAGGGGCAACAGCTTTGGTCATTTGTTGCTTTGAGCTAACACGCTGCTCTCATTTTCCGGCGATGCTGGCCGCGGTGGGTGGTGCACCACCCCAGAACCACCCACCCACACCCAAACCCACACCCACTCGCCGTAGCCACTTCGTACTCCGAACTCCACCCACACTTCCATTCGCACCACGTGGATCGTTCCATCCACACATATATCTTGTGCGGAGCGAGGTGAGGACACGCCCAGACCTTATGGCGCAATTCCATCGTGTAAGTCGCACTTTTTCGGTTTTATAGCTTAATTTGCTTTTATTACATTATCATAAAAATAAACAAACGTAAAAAAACCAAAAAAACGAGAACAAACAGAAACACGCTGCAAACAAGCTTGCCAACATCCGCGGCACCCGCAAAAACATTTGAGGTTTACCTCACGGCACATCATATCGCATCACATCCACGGCGGACTCTCGCCGGAGATGCCACTCCACTTCCGGAATGCGTGTCCTGGGTGTCCTTCATCCTGCCGGAGAATCGTAATCGTAAAAAATAGATCGTAAAGCGGATGTCCAAATATGTTAGTGCGCATTAATAGCGAAACTTTTCCACAACCACCACTTTCACGTGCTCATGGGTACTCTGCACCCACTAAACTTATTTGTTTTTTAAATATAGTTAAAAGTTCATAATAAGTGTGCCATTCCTTGCCCTAAATTTGACAGTCAATTTTCTGAGCATAATATATTTTTATGATTTCCTAAAATACCGAATTTGCTGCAAAGCACATGAGGTTTAAGTTATCTCTAAATATATATCAGAAAAATCTTTTTTTCAATTTACAACATATGTATGTGCAGAAACATTCGTTGCGTGCAATTCGTCAAAAAAATTAGGTCAGTGTTTTCTTGTTTTTCGGAAACACGTCAAATGCTATTTAATTGCAATTAAATTTGGTTGTGTACTAGAGGAGATTTTAAGTGGGCGAGATTAATTGGCTAGCATATTTAAGTAGCATACCAATTGGTTTAGTTGGTGTCTTAATTGTCTGCTCACTGTGTTACAAATAAGTTCTCTTTGCCAAGACATCGAAAATGTAGAAAAATTCTTCTAAGATGCTCATTTCATAGGTTCGTTAAAATTCAATTGCCACAATATATATTATATATACATATGCTAAATGTATTACGAAAGCTTTAAAAGTAGAAATGATGACTGCTTGAGTAAGGATATCTATTCCTTCTATAAAAAGTTAAAACCTTGTTGATATTTCGAGTAACTGGTATTCAAGTGGCATGATATTTAAACGAAGATCGCTGGAAATGTTTCATACAAACCCGATTAGGAGTGATTAATTAGTGAGGATCGATAATGGGAGTTAACTCTAGCGCAATTCAGCGATAAAGATGATGACAGACGATAAGTGCAGTGCGAGTGCCTTGGAATTTGCTGATCTTATTAACGCATTTGTGTCGCCACTTTTGGCCACCGCAGCACTTTGTTGCCACTTCCAGCTGGCGATCGCATGCACTTCCAGTGCGATGGGCTCACAGTTGTGAAAAGTAAACAAACAAATGACTAGCCAAACACAACAAATGGGCGTTGCCGGGAATTGTGGGGAAAACAAGACCATCGACAGTTGTGAAAACGCGTTCCCCTCCGCTTCCCGTTCCCTTCCCCCCATTTCATTTGTATTCTTTTTTTCCTCTGCTTTCTTCTGCCTGGCGACCTCGCACCTGTCCATTAAATCAGCCAGCCGAAGTCCATGGAGCACCATGATTGGTGGTTGCGATGGCCTCGCTTCCAGTGTGTGCCGCGAATACGAGCTGCTGGCGGGGAATCGGATTGGAATTGCGGAGAGAGCGGCCCAAATGCCACCACCATACAAAACCGGAGAACCGGGTGGGCGTTGCCCGAAAGTGCTAGCACTTCCAGTCTGCCGGCTCTTCATTGTTTTGTTGCGCGCTCCAAGGCGAGCGGCATTCCTCTTCTCCTCTGGGGGGCGCAGCATAGCGTTGTCCCGCTCCCGCGCCAACTGCAGCGGAATGCGCCCCAACAGCAACACCAGCAACAGCAGCAACAGCAGCAACACGGCCAACAGCAACGGCATTCGCAACCAGTTCGTGTTCGAACGTTATAAGGTGCACATGTGAAAGGGAGCGTGTGCTAGAGCGCCGCGTTTTTGCCGTCGATATTTCGTCGATTTCTCGTTGCCGCCGCGTTTTGCGAGTGCTAGCCAAATAATCCTAACGGAAATACGCCGCCAGTGACAGATACAACTGCAAATACCTAAAAAATCCACGAGATACTTTCGGTTGGCCCAATGTCGTTATGGTCGTTATCGTGCCAGTGCCCACTGTGAACACACCCAGTCGAAACTGAGCTGTTAACCCGCTAAGCACATCGTTTGATGTAGCAGCTCCACCACATATCCTTCAGCAGACTGCCCACGAGAGAGAGAGAGAGAGAGAGAGAGAGTATCTTAAGACTAGGTCTTATATAGTCGTATAGTCATATAGCGAAATGGCTGCCTACACACAATTCGGATACGGAGGCTTTCCGTCGGCCTCGCAGGTGGGTCTCCTAATCAGTCAGATCTAGATGTACATACTATATGATGGTTATTCATATTCATTAAGCCACAGGGGATCTCAAGATAACCAGATGAAGGAAAATGTCTGTTAACTTAGAAATGAGATCCTAATTAAAGTCCATATTATTCATTAGACTGATACAATCAACAGATTATAATTATGATTCACTCAAAGATTCATGGTTTTCATAATACTATTAACAGCTTTTATTTATGAAGTAATTAAAAAACCGAAGTTACAAGTAGAAAGCATTGCAAAATCATGTTTAAATTCAATTTGTCTATAGTCATCATTTTTATTCGTACACATTTTTAATTTCACTATCTTTTCTGGATTGTGGCTTATCATAACAACTGAACTCGTTAGCCGATAATAACTACATGAAATTAATTTCTTAAGCTTGGTTTGGTTTAAAGTTTATTTGGTTAAGACCACTTATAAGTTTGCGATCCTTACCACCAACTTTCAACTGAGTACTCCACCGACTGCAGTCACAGCTATCCGATTATTTGATCTTGAGGACCCACTACAGGGCAAAACCGCTAAAAGTCTTTGATTTTAGCGCTTTCTGACTTTTAACTAAGCAGCAAAAACAGCTGCTTGGGCAAACTTTTTCCATGTTTATGACAGTAAATTGGTAGAAAGCCAGCAAAAAAGCATAATAAATCAGATGGCTGATAAATGGCCTGAGAAAAAGGCACTCGAAGGAATCAGGCGTTTTTGTCAACCTTCAAAACTGACACAAAAACTGCTCGGTGCCTTAAAGATTTTGCAAAAAATTACGAGGATGCAGGTGCAACTACAATATTTGCAAAATATTGAGATGGATTACAAAAGGGGTAGAGGGTATTGAAAGGCCTAGAGCAAATGGAATTTGCTATTAATTGAGTTTGTATGGGCCAGACTTTAATTTCCCAGGCTATAATACTTGGTTACCAATTGCTTGGTTCTTCCTCCGCAGAACTCTGGCGTCTTTCCCATTTCGGACCACACGAGTCCAATTAACCAAAGTCGAAAACGAAAGCAAAGAAAAAAAAAGAAAAAAGGGAAAAGCCTTGGCAATCAGAAGGCCAAGACGATGGGAGGTGCCGATTGAGGCACGCTCAGGTGAAACTGTTGAAAAGTCAATAAAATTCAATTGCGGCGATCGTAAATCATAAAATTCATAACCGTAAAGTGACAGCTGAGGGCAGGCCCTGGGAATGCCCCGGTGGCTACGTGAGGAGCATCCATTGATTCTGGAGATGGCAGATAGGATAGCATCGGGAGCCCACCGAACGATCGATGGACCAATGACTTGGGTCCTCCCTGATCTACTTTACATTGGCGGCGAGGGTGATGGTGATGGTGAGGTTGAGGTTGAGCCGCTCCAAGTGGCGCTTACAGTCCGGTGCTATCAACTTGGTCATCTGGAGGAGATTGTCGCGGGGGAGGGACTCGATGCAGAAGCGCGGTAGCCTGGCAGCTTTGGTGGACCCACGAGATACAAGTTGCGATTAGATCGCTGCGTTTGCGATTCACAGAAATTTCCAAAGCCATTGAAACTGGACTGGGACTCAGAAGTTGGGTATCTGGCATTGGGCATTGGGTACTGGTTACTGGTTACTGCTTACTGGTTACTGGCACTGCTGCTCACTGGGCACACACATGGCCAGCAGATCTTATCTGCGCACTGTCGCCTGCCAGTCGTCGTCGTCTGCATCCTCCAACTGCCAACATCGAAAGGTCCACGTTCCATGCGAAGACGTGGCCAATTCACATGGCCCACTGGACCACTGGACCACTGGCGCTACCTCCAAGCGGAAAGGTACTGCAGGAATGGAGTCCTCTGCCTCATGAATAATGCATTCGCTCAAGGAGCTGAGGAATCTGGCAGGCGCATAGAGCTCCCTATATGGTGTCGCCTATCAGATCAGTTGTCATAATTCTCATATTGTTGTGCCGAGAAACTCTGGGAACGCTGAGCACAGCCTCCTCCTTTCGATCGCTGAACATTCCCATACAGATCGAGCGAAATGTATTTGCTTTTTACTAATTAAAATCACGCGGCATGGTGGAAAAAACAAAACAAAAAAAAAATAAAACAACTGAATCATTCATTTGTAAAATTTTGATAAATGGCTGTGCGTTTTCATATTTCGTTTTTTTCGATGTCCCTATATATAGTCAGCGATCTTGGCCTCGAAATTCTATTATTTGTGCGCTCCAGCACGACTCAAAAAAAAGAAGAAAAAATGTTTTCCTTTATAATTAATAATCGACCTTCTAGTGGATCACTCACCTGCTGAATTCGAGGAGGATCAATCTGGAATCGATCGCATCTGATAATTATAAAATAATATGCATGTGCTGCGATTTTCGGGCAAAGAAGAAGGTTCTATTGTCAGATTATGTTAATGACGCGGAATAATTATGCGTTTTGGTGGCTGCATTTAAGTTTTGACCGCGAATTTCGCCACAGAAGCCGTGTAAGCCGGGCTAAAATTGTTAAAATTGTTGCTGCCCAGATATTATGACCTTTTGCTGGGCATTTCGATCAATTTGTAGCTGTCCATCAGGCGGAGCACTCAACTTAATTATGGGTTCGGTGCTCCGATATTTTCGCCCAGAAGACTGAAGTCTTTAGATTCCAGACTTCAGCACTTCAGGACTTCCAGACTTCAAACTTCCAGACATCAGACTGTGGAAATTGAAGCAGTCCGCTCGTTTTGCAGATTGCCCGCGGTAATTTTCAGAAGCCTTCGCCAGCATGTTGCCCCACTCCTCCATCTCCATCTGCATCGTCTCCAGGCATCCATATCCATATCGATCCGATCTTGGATGGGTCCGAAAAGTCGGTCTGGTGCGGACCTATAGGCGTCGGCTGCCACACCCTCATTGATTTCTGGCATTTTTCAAAATGCCCCCAGAGAACTGGCTTCATGGGCTTGCCGCATTTTGCATATTAATTGCCAAGTGAGTGGCGCATGCCATAGGCGAAGCTCCACTGTAAAGATGGAGGACATCACATCAGGTTGCCCCCGTTCCCGATCCGCCACTTGAAATCGATTTGCTGGGTAATTGATCTGGCCGCCATTGCAGCGTTCGCAAAGTTCGCGAATCCTGAACTTACTCCACTCCACTCCACACCAGAGCTCTCCATTGATTAAGGGAACTTAATCGCCGCGGGATTATGAATCCCGTCCAGCTTCTGCGCTTTCCAGTGTCCAGTGGCCAGTGGCCAGTGGCATTGATTGTGTGTTAACACCATATTCGCTTACATGTTATCGATGCATCTTGTAATGGGCCTACTGTCGATTTTTCGAATTAAATTCGCAATTACCCAGCGATTCAGGCGGATTTGGTGTCCTCAGTAGGAGGATGGCCCAGGTACATGCGATGATGATATGGGGTGGGTAAACAACATTGCCGGACATCAATATTTATGAAGTTTCCAGTACGGCAGTTAGCATGACTTACTCGGCATTATGCTGCAGAAAATTAGCCATTATACATGGACGTGCGTTTCCTGTGCCGAGATGGTGGAGGCATCTACTCCCAGGCAGGTTTTCATCCTCGCCTCTTGGCGAACAAGTTGACATCTAGTTTATGCAGCTGTTCAGGGATAGTTTAGATAATTATTAAATTACCGCTCAATTTTCTAGCTAGTACTGACAAAGTATTGCGCACTTAGAGGCACAAAATATTGGTTACTTAAAGGCACAAAATCTTTTTTAAATACTTCACTTTTGGACCACTTAAAAACTTTACTTTATTTGAAATATAATAGGAGACTTAAATATCATTATACTATATAATATACTATACTATTCCACTGCTAAATAAAAAAGTGACAGAAATCATTAGGTAGCCCTCTGTGGTAGGAACATTTTTAGACCCATCAACGAAAACTATCTTATCACTTGAGCAGCGCAATAAACTAATTCATTGGCGAAATGTTTGAGATAAACACTGTCAGTTTAGGGACAGAGTTTGTGTTCGAAATGAAATATTTTCATTCAATGGCACAATGATTGGGGCTTTCTCGGAAGCCCCACCTCCTCGAGCAGTGAGTGTGGGGTTTTATCGCAGGTTCGTATCTCTGTAAGGTGTTCAAAATGACCCTTTTGCAGCCGAGGGAAAATATTTCTCGATCATCAGCCTTTGGTGTTTGAAATAAAAATTAAAATGGCCCCTTGATTAACATGCATTAGTTATGTAAACCAGTGGCGATGTGTGTTTATATATCACTTAAGGCTATCAGTCGACTGCTTTTCGAGTTTTGAAGTACCTGCACAGGGGAAAAATATAATATGATTCCGATACTGTCAACTCAATTTTGGACATCATTAGTTTAGCTGGCACAGTCAATAAAGGCATATCCGATATGCATTTTATATCACTATATAATTCGGGGGAACTCCATTTTTAGCAAGAATAAAGAAAAAGATTAAAACTTTTTAGAATAATGAATTATTTAAAGGAGAGATTGATTTTTGCCCGTGTATTCACCTTAATATACCCATGCGATAAGCGGCTGAAAAGCCGAATTTGTGTTTCAATTTGCGACGAACTTGCACTGAAGAGCCTCCTCCCATCCGATCTCTTGCAGCTCCTGCCGCCAAGTGTCCAGCCGACGGAGGACGCTTCCGCGAACGTGAACGTGAATGTGAATGTGAACGAGGCGCTGGTGATGACAAACGCCCCGGCGATGAGCCCCACGGGAGGTCAGGATTGTCAGGGCAGCCAGCCGCCGGGCGGAGCTGGCGGAGATGCCTCCTCGGGGGCGCTGAGTCCCAATGCGCTTTCGCAGAACTCGAATGCGGCGACGGTGGTTGGAGCAGGAGGTGGATCCTCGGCGGGCGGAGTAGGACCAGCGGATCTGGCCGCCGGTGGCTCCCTGGACGGCAGCGGCGTGGGCACGACGCCCACTGCCGGTGGTGCTGGTGGTGGTGGTGGTGTTGGTGGCGGCGTTGGTGGATCCTGCTGCGAGAACGGGCGGCCCATAATGACCGACCCGGTGTCGGGTCAGACGGTCTGCTCCTGCCAGTACGACTCCGCCCGCCTCGCCCTCTCCAGCTACTCCCGCCTCCCGGCGGCCAGCGTCGGCGTCTACGGAACGCCGTACCCCTCCACGGACCAGAATCCCTACCAGAGCATCGGAGTGGACAGCTCTGCCTTCTACTCGCCGCTGGTGAGTGCACTTGAATAACTTAGGGGGGCATAACTAACCACAAATTTGAAAAGCTTTTACATACCCAAAAATATTGTTTATAAATCAAGGGAATTTATGTTATTTAAATCTGTTTAGCTTTTTTTTTTAATATTTATTGTAGTGGATTAATATTGACCTTTGGCATGAAGTGAATCCGTGCAATGATATTTTTGCATCAATCAATTAGGTCACTTACAAATGAGCGTACTTATTTTTCCGAGTGTGTTGGCCAAGAGCCATGGGCCAGAGGGCTAAATGGATTATCTCAACGTATGACTTTAATTGTGTAGTCAGTGGCTTTTGTCCGCAGCTTAGGAGGGAGACAAAAACAACGACAACGACAACGACAACAAAACTACAAAGCAGCAACATCGATGGCTTGTCAATGCAGTCGACTAAATCGAATTATCATTATGGCTGACTGAAGCTCAGTCAAACCTCATTTGGCTCCGTATCGGGGGTTTAGTTTCTCTGGGACTCAATTCCATAGCCAACCCATACCCATACCCATACCCATACCCGTACCCAGTCCGAGTTCCATCCCCCCGATGGCCAATCCTTTTCTATCGCCGTCTATCCATCTACCTAATTTATAAGCCCGTTTACTCCGCCGGTTCCCTGCAAACTGACAACTGCCGACTTCCATTGCGATATTCGATACTTTGCATAAAGAAAGGCAAAATCATTGGTAACAAAACATATTGCCCCATGGCCTCAATTACACTCCACTCTCTTCGTGTATGTGTGGGCTAATCAAGCTTATGTCGCTGTGTGTGTGAGCGCCCACACAGTGGGGGGCAGAAATAGTAATAGCAGTACTTTGGCTGCCAAAGCTATTTATTATACTAGCAAAACTGTTTGAGGATATCCTGAACAATTTTTAAATCTCCACAGCTAAGTAATTTATAAAAATTTCACATTTCTGGTCAGCAAATAGGAAGCTTAAATATATATGTATGTGCTTGAAAATTAAATCAAATCATTTAACTATAACACGTTTAATCATTGAAAATATAAAAGTGTTCTTAAGTAACACTTAATATAATATAATATTATAAGCAAGTTTATTTAGCGATTTTTCAATACGTAGTGCTATAAAATAATGTTAAAAAAACTGTGAAACAATGCCTTTTTCTATTTCTAGGTATTTTTCTTTTAAAGGAATTACTTTTTTTGTTATTACTAAAATTATTTTATAATTTATAGGGAAATATTTGCCTGATTTCCTTCTTTTACATTTTTTTTGTTTTATTCCTATTATTGTGTCCCCAGCTGTGCTCGTATAGTCTTTAAGTGACCGCTGAAATGTACACGAGCACAGCATGACTGAAGCAAAACACACTGTGCTTGCTGCTGCTTTGCTTTGCTTTTGCTGTGCTTTTCAGGCTGCTGGCCTGAATGAAAGGCCAACGCAAGCAAACAAACAAACACACAAAATTGGCAACAATATGTATAACAACAATGTGGACAGTATTTAGCCTTGGCAAATAACTAACTGCCCGAGATGGATAGGCTTAGCTAGAAGTGCCCAAATAACCGAGCAAGTGTTTTATAAGGACATCATGTTGCCGCATCGCACACCAGATAAATATTTTCATCGACGTGGCTTGGGTGCACAAGTATCTTAGTATCTCGACTATTTGTCGAGAAATGTGTTGGCAATATTTAATCGAACCTCTTAATTTGCAAAGGCTGCCAAAAGCACTCAAAAACATTTCGAAAATTTTGACAAAGTTTAGTCTGAAGTTATGTTTAACGCTCATTTCCAGTTGTTAACTTTATCCAATCCTATAAATACCAAGGTATCTCCCTGGCATATTTATACGTTCTTACCCATAATAACTCCCCTCAATTTAAAGAATCACTCTTCATAAATTGCTCCTAATTTCGAGAAATCTTAAGACACTTGTCCGACTTTGTCAACAGTATTTCCCCGATGTTTACGAGTGCTGTAATAAGCACATTAGTTTGAACGATCTAATTAATATGGACGAACACAGGGTCTAATCAACTTGGGCGGCTCTCGACGAGTACTTCAAAGAAAACCTCCTTCAGATGGAGGTGATGTGAGAGGGAAAAGGGAAAGCCCGGGAAAGGAGAGGAAAAGCGGAGGAAATGGGGCGGGACTGGCAGCGGCAGCCACCAAAGTGTCATGTTAAATTGTTATTTACAACAACAGGAAATTCATTCGTTCTTTATTTTTCTCCTCTTTTTGTCTGTATTTTGGTTTTCTTGTCTCGCACCTGAGCGAGTGTCTGTTTTTATCGGTCGTCTCGAAGCGCATACTTTTAATTAAGAAAATATCTCGGAGTTGCCTCGATAAGATGTCGTCGGAATTTCGAATTTCGAATTTCGGAGGTGTTAATAACCGAGTTCATTTCCTCTGGGGAGGGGGGAAGAGATCTAGCAAAATCTCACTTCTGACATTTCCACACCAATCGCTTCGATTGGGCAAATAAATCTGGTGTAGGGCGATTCCAATACCTGTTCGTATATACACATACATGTGTACATACGACATTTTGATAAATATATTTGTCACTCGGCGGCGGCGGCGGCGGCGGTTTTCTGGCCATAATGAAAGAAAGGGGTGGGGTGAAAAATTAATAAACAACGGCATACATGATGTTAAGCAATTAAAAATGTTAATACCGTTTCATAAATCAAGAGCTCGCACAAAAGCCCGGCTCGACAGGGCCAACCAGATTGGACGGCGATCTGGCCAATAGTTGCCGCTCATAAATCCGGCTGTCATTTTCCGAGGGCATAAATCGCAGCGTGCCACAAACAGAAATCGAGCCAAATTAAAATTCAAAGTGTTCGGGCTTTTTCTATTTTTTTTGGACTTAACCGCTTTCAAATCTAATAACAATAATCGGCGCTTCGACTTAGATAATACTCGAACCATATACCGAATTTTGTCTGCCTTAAATTATGTATTTTTCTGTATCGTTCCGTGTATCTTTGGCTCTAAAATATGGCCAACATCTGGGCATTTGCTTGTTCGCCGCTCGGCCTGCGAAATATGTTGCCAAATTATAGATTCCATGTTAACAAAATTGTCAACTTCGAAAACTGTGGGAAAATGCCGTGTTCGCTAATAACTCAATTCCATGCTCTTACCGCATCTTGGGATATTCACCATCGTTTCTCCTTTTTCAGAGCAATCCGTACGGACTGAAGGACTCGGGCGCGGGAGCTGAGATGGGAGCTTGGACCTCAGCTGGACTTCAGCCCACTACGGGCTACTACTCCTACGATCCCATGTCGGCCTACGGGTAAGCCTCCGTAATTTCATTCGATTTAATTTAATTAGATATCTAAAAAAGTGGCACAATTGCGTGCATAATTAATGGCGTCTAATAGAAAATAAATAGAAAGCCTTTTAGCCGAAGTGAAATGGATGGGGTCGGGCGATATCAAATGCAATTGGGCACCCATAATTAATTACAAAATATTTGCGAGTACTTGAAATTGATTTGAATTTAATTGCCTGCGGCGGCTGCGTTGCCCTGCCCTCCTCGCTTTTCCTCACTTTTCCTGCGTTTTCCTACGATTTCCCTCGATTTTCCCCCGACCAATGAAATGGCGCAATTGCCGCAGGGACGGGCGATAATAAAATTTGAATTGTTCGAAATTGTATGAGAGCGCGAAATTATTTATTTATGATTGCTGCAAAAATAATAGCAGTTAATTGCACGCCAGTGCGCACAACGCACAACATACACTGCGCTTCAAAGGTATACAGATGTGTGGCTTGCACTGAAAGAAAGTTGGGGTCATTAATCATTTGTTAAACAAGTGGGCCTATGTTCAAATATGATGGAAACGTAATTATTACAGCGGTTTATGTGCCTCTATACAATCATTTCTAAAGTAACTTCGAGAAAAGACTTTAATAAAAAAATCAATTTTTTAAGAGTTTTACTTAAATTAGTATTTATATGGAAATGTTGAAGTTAGGAACCTTCTTTTAAAAGTGAATGAACTGCGTAGTGTGCGACCAGAATTCACTGCACTTTGTTCACCGTGTAAGTGCGTGATTTTCTGGAATGTGCCGTATAATTAGCACCTATTAAATAAATATTTTGAGCATATAAAAACATGGAGAATTTGTTGTTGTGTATGCACATACATTAAGCCCCAAGTATGTACACACGTGGGTGCATACACAAGTGCGTACGCACATATACACGTATGCAGAGTACACAGGAGTACACAGGAGTGATTCGATGGACAGGAGGCATGAGTCCCCTCATTCCGAACCCAAATCGGGGGAAGAGCCGGCTGAAAGGCTGAAAGGCTGAGTGGCATGCAACGGCTGCGGCTTCCCGTTGGACCGTCGGCTTGGACGCTATGGTTTGGTTTGGTTTGGTTTGGTCGACTGTGGATTGGCTTGGTTCGCTTTCGTTTGGGCCCGGCTTGCGTGCGGAAAGCCCATGAAATCGAGCTGCAGCTAAGTGAATGAATGAGTGAGTGAGTTGTAAGCGATGCATGTTGATTGGCGGGGGGCGGTGCTGAGGGGGAATGGAGGAAGGGGCAGGTGGCCGGTGGCAGGGCGGCCGGTAGGTGGGCCGCGGGGGGGACGGAGAGGTGTGAGCCGCAAATGAACGCCATGTTGGCCGCCATATTGAGCGGCGGCACATACGCACTTACTTACCAATCTACCGGTGTTTGTATGTATTGCGACCTGTATGTGCAGTACACTGAGCGAAAGAGCGCAATCAAAAGCCGGGAGCGATGAGTATTATGCCAAAACATCAGCGCCTCCGCATTTCAAGTAGTTGCAGAACTTTTTGAATCAGTGCGAACTTAAAAATCAACTTATACTTGAATCTATACTTGAAACTTATATTTCGCAGTGTGATTTAATATATATTTGACTTTATATTTTTGAACAGTAATAATAATTGATAACGTAAAAGTAAGACTACCTTCGTAACTGGAACTCATAGGTTTCACATTTTATACAAAGAACTAGAAACTGGAATAATATTTTTGATTTAATCCAGATATACAGCTGTAATTAGAAATTACATGATATTGTTACTACATTTTTTGTAATGATTTTTTTCTGTGCGTAGGCGTGTACATTTCACGGGTTGACAAACATTTAAGAGAGCAACGGTTGCGCTTTGTTTTGCCCATTGTCACAAATTGGCAACGGAGTGGGAACTGCGGAGCGGGAAACTCGCTGGAAAGGTGGAAAATCTGACTGACTGACTGACTGACTGACAGTCAGCCGGTCTATCTGTGTTGTCTGAACGAATGTCTGTCTGTCTGGCAGATGGCAATTGCAGGGTTCTGTAGGGTGGGGCGAAACCGACACGGGGGAGGGGGTGAGGAGGAGGTGGTGAGTGGGTGGGTGGGTGGTTGTTGGTGGAATGACAGGCAACGTAATTACCCAGTGACAGGCATGAAACGTGTCTGCTCACGGGAGCCAATGTCATTTGGGCTGGCAGCCAGCGTTATTTGTTCGAAATGCGAAATGCGAGCGACCGACAGCCACTGAAAATCGCAACTCGGAGATAATGGCCGCCGTAATTGGTGGCTCCCAACCAAATTGCATGTGGCTCGAACAAAAGCTGAAATGTAAATGGGTGTAAGCCGGTCTAAAACTAATAAGCGCGGCCCATTCGGCCGACCGCTATATGCGGCTATATGTGACCATATAGCCGTGTCCGTGTGTTTGTGTGAACAAGAATGTGATTTGTTAACAAGATTATGGCCCGCCAGCAGCAACAGCAGCCAAATCATTTTTTTATTTTGTTTACGAGTTATGCCAAAAGAACGCAGACACATGTACACATGTACACATGCACATTGGCGGGCATTGCAATTATATGGCGAATACAAAAATAGGATGCGTGCCAATTACGGACAAATTGATGTTTGTTAGCTTGTAAAACATAACAGCACAAAAAGCCCACAAAGCGTATCACTCGCTTCAGATCCGTCGAATCTGCCGAACGTCTACCGAACTACGCGATAATCATATAGCCCGGCTATATAGCTCCGCCTTTGGCCGATGTAGCCGGGTTACGTGCCGAAAATTACGGGCTTCACAACCTCTGGTCACGGTTATTGGACAAATCTTACTACATGGGGGGTACAGTGAAAGATCTCTTTGGCGGACGCAATATTATTAGCTGGGGTGTTATTATGTAGAAGACTATTTTGAATAATAACTTCAAATATCAGACTTGGTCAACATTTATTCTAAATAGTTCACTTTAGTAATGATAGGGATTTAATTTTTTATAATTTTATTATTTTTCAAACAATTACTTAGTAGTTCCAATTTAAGTAGTTTTCCTAATATATTCTTCCATCTGCTATTTGAAGTAGTCCTTCCTGAACCCGAAAAACCGCAGATTGTAGGGAGGACATACACCGCACTTAGTTGCCTGAATGAAAATTCACGAGTCCTCCTCCAAACTCTTGTGCTAATCACTATGAACATCCTGCACATTGCACGCAATCAAGATACAAAAAGAGGAGAAAAAAGTGGGGAAAAAAGCAGGAGGAGAAAGGACCACGGAGAAAGGACGTCGAATTTACATTCGACGGACGGCGAGGCCGAGATTCGTTCTTTATCTTGTTGTAAAATTCACCGCACACAAACTGTTGATTGTGGCTCCATAAAAATCCCATGAAAAAGGACCAAACGCAAAATATAGGAGGACGAAAAGGGATTGGAAGTGGGGGTTTGGGGGCTTGGGAGGATTTGCGGAAAACCCGAAAGTGAAAAGCGGATGAGCCGGATGTGCAGCGGAGTTCGCGATGGGCTGGGGCTTAATTTAGCTAGGAAGTTCTGATGGGGGCAGGACCAAAACCAACCCAGCAAAGACCATTATTGCAGAGGACGAATGGCGGATGATGGAGATGCCCCACAGATGCCTCTGGTGGCTTGAAAAAATGCGATAAGTGCACTGGCAACTGCGGCACAGTGGAGTGGAGGGTACAACTGGATCACCCGGTTGCACCCACTTTTCCTCCTCGTTATTGCCGGAGACGCTCTTTTCGGTCCAATGTTGTTGCTTTTTGTGGCCGTGCCCTGTTTCACAACTATGTTTTACAATATTTTGACGTTGTATTACACTGGCAGGACGAGAGCGCGGAGGTCCTGGGGGGAAACAGTGGTAGGTTGTAGGAAAACATCAATTTGAGTTTTCCGCATTTTTAATGAATTTCCATGTTTCGCTGCTGCCACTATTTTTTTGGGGCCACGCAATTAGAAAGATAATACCACTGCAATTTCATCAACGAGTGCAAAGCTCTTTTTTTAAACGCCCCTTTAAATGTTGAGTATGACGGGTATAAATACGAATTTAAGGGATTTCTATATTACTTTAGTTTCAAATGTACGCTATAATACATAGCTATATTGCTACTTTTTAGTAATAATTTATCACTTTGGTAACAGACGACTAAATAACAGTTTAATTTTTACAAAATATATAATTTTTAGAGTGTAAATAGTTGATGCTTAGGTATAAATAAACCAATAAATTAAAAAGACTTTCTTTTGTAAATACGATAATGTTGGTTGCATCTGTTCTCTAAACAGAGGATTGCTTGTTTCTAATTCCAGCTATGGAGCCAGCTACGACCTGGCCGCTCGTCGCAAGAACGCCACCCGTGAGTCCACGGCCACGTTGAAGGCCTGGCTGAATGAGCACAAGAAGAACCCGTATCCCACGAAGGGCGAGAAGATCATGCTGGCCATCATCACCAAGATGACCCTCACCCAGGTGTCCACTTGGTTCGCCAATGCGCGTCGTCGCCTGAAGAAGGAGAACAAGATGACGTGGGAGCCGAAGAATCGCACGGATGACGATGATGATGCCTTGGTATCGGACGATGAGAAGGACAAGGAGGACTTGGAGCCGAGCAAGGGCAGCCAGAGTGGCAGTTTGGCCAAAGGTATAGGATACTTAGGGGAGGGGTTTCCATAAGTGTAAACCTTACTTACAGCTGCTGTTTCTTTAAACCAGATGAGACCAAAGAGGAGGAGGATGCCATAGATGAGGACCAAAAGTGCCTCGGTCAGGCGAACATACTGCGTGCCGGCTTTGGCTATTCAGCAGCCGGAAGTGGTGGTGGTGGTGGTGGCGGTTACCCCGGTGGAGGTGGCTCCACCAGCGGTCATCCCGGTGGCTACCAACCGTATCATCATCAGCATCCCGCTTACTATCAGGCAGGCCAGCAGGGCGGTATGTTGCCATTTCATGGGGAGAACTCCAAACTGCAGACGGATCTTGGGGATCCAAAAAACCAGCTAGGCCGGGACTGTGGCGTGCCGATTCCAGCTACCAAGCCGAAGATCTGGAGTCTGGCCGACACAGTTGGCTGCAAGACACCGCCGCCGGCTTACATGGGTCACCAATCGATGCCGCTGCAGCAGCAGCAGCAGCAACAGCAGCAGCAGGCGCAGCATCAGTATCCGCCACCGGAGGCAGGACGAGATCAGCAGCTGTTCAATGGGGCTGCAGCTCCATACCTGAGGCCGCACACCACGGCCTACGGGGGTTTTCTAGGGGCTACGACCCAGCAGCTGCATACTACGAGCAACAGTATCCCCTACAGCAATATGCCCCCGCAGCAGCAGCAGCAGCAGCAGCAGCAGTTGCAGCAGGGCGGTACCATCCATACTACGGGAAGTTCGAGCGGACCAATACCGCTGCAGTTCCACAATCGGCATCCGCAGCAGCAGCAGCTGCAGCAGCAACTGCAGCAGCAATCTCAATCCACAGCGAGTCAGCGGGCGATGGGGTTTCTCGAAGCCCAACCAGATACTCCACCCCAAACTCCGCCGAATATGAAGGTGCTGAGCGGAGCTTTGAGTCTCCTGCCTACCGCTTCTCAAGTCCCTATGACCGCTACCTGTCGCAGCAGTAACGCCTTTGGGTTCCCCGCCACCGGCTACCCCATGAACTTCTCGGCCAGATTGGGGGAGTACTCGCCGCGGGATGACTACAGCAGCGGGAACAGCAGCAGCAGCAGCTCCTCGTCGCCGCAACTGCAAAGGAATGAGGCCATGTTCAAGCCGCTCTTCAAGAAGTTCACCAACTAATCGGATGTTGGACTATATACGAGTATAGCTACTTTATGGGATCGTGCAAGAGCCAGACGGATTGTGTAATATTAACTGTAGCCGTTTAGCGTGTTAAGTAACTTCAAGTTTCATTCAAGTTATGCATCTATGTATCTAAGAGTATCTAGAGTACCAGATCAAATGTTTCTCTTCTGAAAACCGCAATGTAAGCTTAGGCTAAACACTTAATACTAAACTAGCGCATTAAGATTGTAAACTGTGATACGTTTTTCATTGTCTAACAGACTTCACACTAAACACTTCGTCTATATGGAACACATAATCTAAATAATTTTAGCTCGTTTAATAAAATTCTTTATAATCATGAAATACCTAGAGTGTTTTCTATTTTGTTTGCGATTATAAATGACATTGGTGATGACAACATCTTATATTGGACATAAGAGTAAGTACATGTTCTAAATCTTATTATTCTTATTATGCCGCTAAAATAGATAATTTAAAAGTATATTTGATAGTTATTATGCCTTAAAGAACATGAGAGCAAAGAACATGTTTTTCTCATTTCGTAATTTAAGGAGCTACCTCTTTCTATCTTTCAATTCAGTGATATGTCCAAATTAACACAATGTACAAACATTTTCGCGATAAGGTACAACTTTTTACTCGTAGAGTTTTTCTGATGCATTATGTTGTAGAAATTCAAAAAAACTGAAAATTATCCCAATGTCCTAAGTACTATACTCCATAACTCAACTTATCTTAATCGGATTTTTAAGTGGCATACCTCTAAATGATCCTGGCGCAATTTTTTAAAAATCTGCATTCAAATTTAGAAATTTATTTTTTTTTAATTTTTTTGTAATTTTTTTGATGTGATGACCGTCAAATTGCCAGCTTTAAAATCAGGAATGTATTTAAATATGTATGTTATGTGATTTTGCAGTATTATTTATCTATTTTATAATAAAAGCACTCCAATTTACTTTATAACACATAAGAATGATATTATTTTATATGCATTTCTAGTTTACATACATTTACCTATGTATATAGGTATAGTTCTCTATTCGCATAGTTCTCTATTTTGCAGCTAACATGATCAGAGCGAAAGAGAGCAAAGTTCCGTTGGATCCTCGCTTATTCCATTTTCTTCCTTTCCTCTAAGTACGCCGTTACTTGTCAGTTCTTAGCTGCGCTTTTCTCAGTCGGTTGCTTTTTCGCATTACGTGTTTCAATAAGTTTAATTAAAATAAAAGCGTTCGGAATTAGTTAAAACTTGTGTTAATACTAAGTAATCTTTATCTCTCTGTTCAATCAATCTCTCTGCTTCGATTTTGAGTAATTAAAGACCCTGCAAGAAGTGAAAAACCACGTGATTCGGTGCACACGTGTGTGTGTGTGTGAGCTTCAGAAAGTGGCAGCTGCCAATTTTATGTTAAATAAACATCGAAAAGGAGTTATTCTACTTAAAATGAATGCATTGTCGGCTAGTTAGTATGTTAGTAATAACGTGCGAAATCAAAATGCAATATAATATTCGAATTTACGGTTTTTAATTTTGGCATTCAAGCGGGTGACGCGCGTTTTCATGTGTGTGTGTGTGTCTCGATGCGACAAATTCGCTGTGTCTTAAATCCGCCGTGCTCCCACTTCGCCGTATATAAATGCAGGTGTTTTGCCGAAATTCGCCGCAAATGATGTTTTTGGTTTGCGGCGAATTTTGATATCCAATATAAATGATTTAATTTAATCAACGCGTTCTTTTTTTTATGTTCCATTTTTTTTGGGTGGTATTTTATGTGCATAAATTTATTGAAATTTTAACATCTTGGTGTGTTAAGATAAAGGATAAAGTTCATACTTAGAGGAAAATTTCCCATTGCAAAGTGTTTTTGTTTTTTATTTTAAAGTGTTCAAAAAGTGTAAAGGAAAATTTTCTGTTGTAAAGTGTTTATATTTGTTTTTTTTTTAAGTGTTCAAAAAGGGAAAAGTACAATTTTCTATTGTAAAGAGTTCAAAAAGGGAAAGGTAAAATTTACTATTAAATTTTCTATTAATTTACTATTAAAATTATGAAATATCCTAAGACTGAAGATCTAAACTTCATTACTCAACTTATCTTAATCGGATTGTTGTTTCTGGAGCAATTCTCTTAAAATGTTAATCGGATTTTGAAGTGGCATACCCTTAAATGTTTCTGGCGCAATTCTCTAAAACTAACTTTTAACCCCAAACTTTTGAAAAATTATTTGGTATTTTTTCACTTTTTTATATAGCTAGTAAATTTCTTTAGATTTGAAAAAAACTCTTTTAAGGTTTTTAAAATTTAAAATTTTCAAGTTTTTTTTTTATTTGATCATTTTTTCCCCAATTTCTACCGATATTCCAGAAAATGCTAAAAATTCCCGTTTGTACTTCCACTAGCTGAGTAACGGGTATCTGATAGTCGGGGAACTCGACTATAGAATTTTATCTTGTTTTGTACATACATTCCAGCACATTGCTCTCGTTATTGATTTTTTAATTATTTTCGTGCAGCGTTTTTTCTCGAATTATTGCTAATTACATTTACTCTCATTTGCATTATTTTACATCGATTTATACATAGCTTGAACACTTGTTATAGTTCAGCGACAACTACAACGGGCTTTTAAAATAAATATGACAGTAAACAAGCGCATTTAAATATACAAAATTGCGGGAATAAGTATTTTGCTTACTGCTTAAATTATGAGAAAAATCAATTTATGAATAAAATAATATAATTTTGTGTAGCGTAGTAAAATCCGAGCATTCTAAAGTTTTTGAGCCTTTTATTAGACTGCAATTTGGAATTTTTCTTTTATTTAAAGTATTGCTTGGTTTGCGGTAAAGTTTATTTAATTTCTTAGCTTGTGAATTTGTATTTATATATAAAAAGTGAGGTGTAAGGAATATATATGATTTGCCACAATGCAATAAGACGAAAGATGCTGAAGAAGTAAGATGTAATAATTGAAATTTTATCAGTGCTCGGATAAAGTACGACTTTTTTCTCGTGTGTAGGTTTCAGCCGAATTGACGCAGAAATTGTCAAATGCCGGGGACATGGAAAATGCCGTCCGCATGCGAGACAAAACCTCCCAAACCAAACCAAACCAATCCAAACAAAACCAAACCATACCAAACCGAAAAGCCGGCATCTTTGCGATTGTGTTCGTGGGCTTCTACCTGAAACGCGGTGCAATTGTGTGTATGTGGAAGTTGGCTTTTATGGGGATAACAATTTGTAACGACTATCGCCGTTTGATAAATTAACATTTAGCAGTGGCTCGATTATGCAACAAATTGCCAATTCAATTGAAATTGACAGCCAACGAAGGAGCAAGTGATTCAGCCGCGATGATTCAGTCGAATTAGCCGCGATGATGGCCAATACGAGTATATGTAAGTGCAAGTGATTAATTTGGTTTCGTTTGACACAGTTTACACGATGTAACATAAGTTGACGTCGGACAGGTACTTGATTTTTAAGAGCCACATGCCGAGCGCCACTCAGATGAGCGGCAACCAATTTCTTAAACGTTTTGCTCACTAATTCTATGGTTCCATCAGCGGGATATTAGTTCCGATCCGAACCAAAATGATCCATTCAGTTCCCAGGGCCTCGCTTTATGGGCTGTTTTACAATGCTAAATGACCGAGCTGGGCATAAAATTTTCCCCATTACACAGGGGGCCAATCAGTAAGCCGCGTAAATTAATTGTATCCAAGAGGTATGATACCATACCAAACGATACCATACCATACCGAAGAGATCCTTCGCAGTGCCGCGCTTGTGAAGCGATCCCGTTTATGGGTCATAAACCATGGGATCGCGCCGGTTGCAGCCACTCGACATTCCCTGTATTGTTTTGGGGATCGAATCGGACCGGGGATCGGCTTGGATCTGGTCACCAGCGGCGAGGATATACGACAGTTAACTTATCTTGCATCCACTTAACGTCTTGCGGCCATAAATCAATCCAATGGCCGAATGCTCGATGGCAGCCAGCCAGCAGGCGAATTAATCACTTTGAAAATTGTTACCCATTTGGAAACTTGTCGCATTTGCTTTCCAGTTCCAGCCTTCGCTTCGATTCAGATTCAGTTTCTGTTTCAGCTTCAGACGATCTCGACCCGTTTCCAAGTATAAGCAGATAAGTCTATGGAGTGTCGTGTGTGGGCAATCCTTCAACACCATGTGAAAATCACGGTAATTTATTATTGACAGCCGCAGTAGTAGGTACCAGTCGTATTTGTGATTAGTTGCCTTCTCCTATGCCTAAATCCCATACGAGAAATCTTGACGGGAATTGGGATTGGGATTGGGATTGGGCATTTAAGCAGTCATCTCCATGGTCAAGTGGCATCAAGGGGCATCATTTCTAATGTCATGGGACCCAAGTGAATGGCACATCAATTTTCTTTTTGTTGGATGTGTCGAAAACGGTAAGCGGTTGAGTTGATTTAAGAGAACCCCCTCTCCTCGTGTCTAATCGCATATTAAAGTAGTGTCCAAGGTTTTTTAACTATCAGTCATTAAGTACCATAGTGGTATATTGTGATGGCAAAATCTAAGGAAAGCATTAAGTTTGTTAATTTCAATTGAATATATTGTTTTATGACAATAATTTCTTATTTATTGCTGGCATAAAAATGGTAATCGGTTAAGGAAATAATGAAACTAACTTTGCTATTAATAAATAGCAAACGTATAATTAAATGCTAGAATGCACTATGCGCTACATTAAAAAGTTGATTGAATTTGTTAGTCCGTAATGGATTATTTAACCCACATTCGAACATAACAAACATTTTTATTCTAGTGCAAGCCAATTGCAATAAAGCTAGTGCTGAAAACAAATTGTGTGCTCCCATGAAATACTTTTATTTGATAAATCAGCGTACCGTAGCTGTGAGCAAATATGTTGTATAAATTTGCAATGCTAACCCCTTTAATTCGCAAATATTTAAGCCAAACAAACACAATGTTCGTGCGTCTTAAGCATAAGCAATAGAAATGGCTAAGCAAAAGCCGCTTTCTCTTATCTAAAGTCGGCTTAAATACTTGAGGCTGGTCAAGCAATTAGTTGCATTCAACGTTATTGATCCGGAAATCGTGTACGATATTTATTAAATTTTCACAAATTTTCATATTAATCGCAAGTATTCACACTCAATTATAAAATACCAAGAACACAAATTTGCCCCGGCATAATGAAGGGAAAATTCCTTGAGATGCCGACATTCTACTGGCATTAAACTGGAAGGCATTTTCCTTGACGACTTGGAATGGGTTATTTTTCGGTGGTGGCTGGGCTGCTGAGTTCCAAGATGCTACA